TATCCCCTGCTTTTTCTTTCCTGCCTTAATTTTGCAAGCAAGTAGAATACTGAAATACTCAGGACTCCTCCTGCCCTTGAAGGGGGGTGGAAGGAGTAAAGGGTTGTATGATTCTATGTACTTGTGCCAATGACAGACAAAGGCAACGTCTTGAGTTTGTTGCTGGCAAATTGCACTGACACAGTTGCAGAACAAGGGAGACATTTTAAAAGCAAAGATTTTTTTTAGGAGAATACGCATTTTCAATTTGCCAACATGGATAGCGTCCATCTAGTTTTTACTACATATTCTAATATATTAAATTAGAGTTGGTGGCAGTAAACTAAAAAATCTGTCTTCTGTCTGTTTTGGTCCAGCTCCATGAGCTAACCGACTGTATCGACTGGAGGGAAAATGCAGAGAGAGTCTTAGGGCAAATTTCAATTTCCCTGGTCATAGTCACTCTGTGCCAGACAGAAGGAAGTTTGTTCAGCCCAAAAGTTGTTCAATATTCAGCATCTTTTCAAGACTGTAAAGATGGTGTTAGGTTTGCTCTGATTTTTGAAAGCCCTGCAGACCTGTCACAGCAGTTGAGAGGCAGCTAACCATAGCCATGCACGGTACAGTTGTGTGCAGATGAGAAGGTTCGGTTGCAGCTGTGGAGGTTGAAGAAGCTGCATACCCTTTGCCTTAGCCTGCTCTGTGAGGAGGGATAAGGGCTGTTATGGGGTCTCTGTGCACCCATAAATCCCTTTTGTCGTGTCAGGAATTCCTCCTGTGGTTGCCTACATTGATTTTTAGATCATATACCCCCAGATCAGGCTTGAAATAATATAACCTAAGTGTCTTGAAAAATCTTGGTATGTTTTGCTTTGGGTTTCTTTATTAATTGCTGAGAGATGTACTGTAGCTTAGGATCAGGTAGTGAGAATTTGAGTTCATTTTATGGCTTTCCTACTCAGTGGAGTGTGATGCTATTATTCCTGTATTGTATTATTCTCAGAGTAGATTTCAGGTCTTTTTACGCCTGAGAAGCGCTGAGCATCACAGGTTATGTTAGGACTGCACATTTGGCTTGCAGTTTAGGGCTGGCGAGAGAAGGATGATAACTATCTGGTCTTGAGAAGTGCTTAGCATCTCCAGCAAGATATTGGATAAACTCCAGTGAAGGTCACTGAAGAACTGATGCTGCTGAACATCGCAACAGAATTGCCCAATGCATGTCATCCAGCGTGCATATAATATGAACATCATCTGTGGACTTATCTAGACTGTGGAAGCTTCTCAGCATTGCCAGAACACACGTGCAGGCCCATGTGTGCTGGCTACAGTGAATGCTAGAATAGTCAGGTCAAACCCAGTTTTACCTCCTAGTCTTTCAGGGGTAAGCAGAGATTATACAATGTAATGATACATGCCCCAGTTGCTGGTCTTATTATCCCTAGCGCTGTTGATATATTTCATTAGTACTTGAGCAGTTTAGCAAACTCCCCATTGTAGAAACAGTGCCGTATGCATTTTTTGCGTGTTTTCTCCTGGGTAACCTGGTTCAAGGTTATTAAAACTGTAAAGCTGTCTGGTAAGCATTACTGATCAGATAGTGCAAAAGCATTCTTGTGTTCGTTACTTTTACCTTTGTCTTTTTTAACCCATAATCATTGAATAGAGTGAACTGAATATGATTTTTAAAATCATATGGAAAAAAAATTACCTAAGCCCCAAAATTATCCTTCACAACAAACTCTCAAAACCAATCCCAGAATCTGAGTGGCAGATTTTTTTGCTATAGTTTGAGAAAACAGAAGAGGTGGCTTTTAGTGGCACTATGGTATGTTTTGTGATACACTGTGACATAGGAAAAGGATCAACAAGTGAAGAGCTGTATTGAAGGATGATCAAACACAAACAGTTTTGAACAAAGAAACTTTGTACATGAAGGTGGCTGGCCCTGTCTGACATTTGTTAGTATGTCAAAACAAGCAACATGCACACTGTTTTAGTAGTGTCCAGTTGGACGCATAATATGAAGATTCACTTGCAAGAGTCTGGGTTGCTGTTTTTATTTTTGCTATGTGTTTATTTGAACTTCTTTTTTCCTTCTTCTGCTTTGCTTTGATACTTCTTTTCATTAGCAGCAATAAATTGCTTAAAGTTGAAAATTGGATTGGAAGAGTGGACCAGTACAGGTCCAGTTGACAGAAATGATAGAAAGAGTAGCCATTGTAAATTATGAGATATACCTCTGAAAAAAACTCTCAAAATGTTATTATTTATATCAGGAAATACTGCTTGATATGTGGCATTCTTTGTTCAGTACAAGTATTGCCTCAGTGCCCTAACATGATGTTATTGGGCACTGTGATTTTGCAGATGTCATATGTCAGCCGAGATGTGCAAGCGAGTTCTTAACCTCTAGTGATCAGAAATTGTTTCATGGTGTTTTTCACAAGAAAAGAGATCATACAAATTCCAGCTAGGCCCAATCTGCTTACCCAAATCATCCTGCTAATTGAATTGTGCATGTTCTTCATTGATTTCTGCTGTAAAATGGTGTTGCTAAACACCATCATTTGTTGGTGAATAATACAAGCTCCATGGATAGTTTGTTGTAATTCAAGTAAAGCAGAATAGAAAGTAGTGCCCAGTCACTGCATAGCCACAACTACTGCTGTAATTAAAATGTTGCTAGCCTGACTACCAAAAGGAACTTTAACACAAAAGATACTAAGAGAAAGGGGAAAAACAGATTTTTTCATTTTAGGTCAAACCCTTAAAAATATTTTTCTCCCTCTGTAGTTTCTCTTTTTTTTTTTTTTTTTTGGCATGGAGAAACTTTTTTATATATCTCTTATCGTCTGAAAAGTTGTAGGATACACAAGAAGTTGCAGCTCAGCATTTCAGAACCTCATTATATCTGGAGAGATGCTGAACTCAGCAGGGTGAATAGAAGGCATTTAGGTAATCAAGCAGGAACACAGTTTAACTCCCTCAGTTATTTTATCAGTGGTGCAAATCTGGTGCAAAAAAAGAGAAGTTTCCAGTGCTAACTGATTTGAAAAGGGGCTTTTCAAAGTGATAATACATAGTGGTATAAGCAGTGGTAATACATAGTAGGAAGCTGCACCTCTGAAAGTTTAATGCTTTATAAATTTGCCAATTCAAAAAGAAAAACAACAAAAAAAGCTTCCACGTGCACATACCATTTCTGCAATAGGATAACTGATGGGTGACCCTGGAGAAGAAGCGTTTTCTTTGTAGACTGGATCCCAAAGTTGTTTGCTTTATTTTTAAAGGAAGAAGTGAGTTAATTTAACTATTTTTTTTGTGCCTTTTCTGGATTCTTTTAGAATTCTGTGATTCGCAGCTATCCAACTTTCACAGATGCTAATGATCTTTGTTTGGTTTTATTGTTTTGTCTATTGAGAGCATTCAGTGTTTCTGCAAAAAGCATAAAGACTTTAATTCCATTCTTGGTGGATGCATCTGTGAATTTTAGTTCTGATTCTGAATCTGAGGTTATTTTTCTTAATTTTTGCATAACTCTATAGTGAATTTGAGCAAAAAGTCTCATGGGGAAATCATCTCTTGTGGTTGCTCATATTTATACGTGAGTCATTTCTATGGCATTGACTTTTCCTTTGGAGTGAGCAGTCCATGAGCTTGGTGTTTGTTATGGGGATGATCTGCAGAAGAAAAAGAACAATTGGTACCAGCAGGCAAATAGTGCACAGGATCGTTATGTACAGCGTACTCGCCCACTGTAATCTGTTCCTTGAGAGTTATGAACATAATTTAATTCCGACTGTATGGAACTGGGTGGCTTTTAGGTACAGCTGGATCGTCCCCTGGCTGGTGCAGGGAAATGCATGTTTCTCAGTGGCACAAAGGATCCTTCTACCAGAGAATAATCTCTGAGGGAGATGGCGTTGGTTGTATCACCGCCCTGCCTCAGGGCCTATATTTTACCTGGGGAACATAAAAACCGGGAACAGCTGTAAGTGGGATGTTACATATTAACATATTCTCTCACTCGCTTTCCTCTCTCCTGCTGTTTTCTTGATGATCTGTATCGAGTGTTGACAGTGGGATGGTTGCAGTTGTTTTCCACTGCTACTACTTGCCCAGTAACGCATTTTCTGCTATCAGCAATTACAAGATTTTTGCTGGATACACTACTGGGCTTCGATCCCAGTGCATCCTGCTCTAAAAGCAGGAGTTCCTTTTCTACTCACTTTAGCTGCCTAGCAGATGAGAAGACACCAAAGAAGCTTCCTCATATGGTGGTGCATACGTGTGTTTGTGTGGTGCTGTTCTTAAGCATATTATGCTTTGTTTCTCACCAGGACTTTGTAGTCCAAGCAGTTTTAAATTGCGTTTACTCAAATATGTTCTGAAAACCGAACTAACGTAGTGACTAGATCTATGCGTAAGTTTGCCCAGAGTTTGTCTACAGTATACACCTGCAGAGGTGTGACTGCAGGACACTGCAAGCTTTAGGCCTGTGGGTGGGACACAGAGAAAGGTGTGCTTGTAGGTGTACACTCAAGTCAGCTGATAGGATCTCAGTTACACCGTTTTGTGTAGCTTGCCTACCACAAAGGCTAAGGCCACACGTCTGGCTAGATGCATCTTTTAAGTGCCTTGGCCTCATTAGTGTTCATGTCAAATTGGCAAGACTGAAGCTGGGGTTTCACTGCTTGCTTCAGCTTTGCTATCTGTAAGATATCACTTGGGATACCTGCTTTCTCACCTCTTTTGTCATGTGTTAAGCATTCATTATGCGCTACCCTTAAAATTTGTTGAAAAAAAAAGGTAACAGACTGATTAAACAACTACTTGTACGACATTGCTGTGTCATTTTTGGGCAGCTGTATCTCCCCCCTGTATTTAGTATCTCAAGGATTACAAGAAACTAATTCCTTTATAGTTGCATTTTACTTGCTAAAATGTCACTTTTAAAAGAGTAACAATTATATACCACTTAAGTGAAATATTCAGGGCATCTCACTTCATTGTTGCAGCAATCACTGAAAAGAAGAGGGAGCAAAGACCTACCAAAATCAGAAAAAAAGTCACAGCAGACACCAACAGAGGTATGTTGTAATAACAGTAGCCTGGATTCTCATGTGAACGCTTTAGGAACCCTATGGAAATGATGTACGTGATTTGTAGATTTGGACTTTGCTTGCTTGTTTGCATTGCTCTTTGTTTTCCTGTATGCTGTGAAACAGAGAGTTCTTACCCCAAGTCTGCAGTCAGACAACACTGTGTCAAGAACCACCTAAACAAATCACTGGTCCTGCAACAGAACCCACCAGCTTTCGTGTACATTTTTGGCAAAAAAAGTAAATGGGAGCACCTGTGGAACAGGATTATAGGCCCTTTGTATGCTGACTTCAGGATTTTTGAATACTGTGAAGTCTATTACAGTGTTGCAAGCCTAGAAAATATAAGGATTTTTTACAAGCTTCCCACCCCTACAATGTATTTTCGAGGGACTGTGCAAACTTTAGTCACAAGTAAAATAGTCTTTTCCCCTCTTTTAAACTTAAAAGTGCTTATTTCCCTCTCTTAAATTTATTGATCAGTGAAAAAATGATTGCAGGAAAATCTCTTAGTATCTAAAACTATGCACTTGTGATTATTAATCTTGTAATTTAAGACCATCCACTGGAGGTCTCCTGTTTTACATCAAGTTTCTTCAAATACGTCTTTTTCTTTTTTCTAAGGAGGACAATGAAGACCTGAAATGCCAACTACAATTTGTCAAAGAAGAAGCAGCCTTGATGAGGAAGAAAATGGCTAAGATCGATAAAGAGAAAGACAGATTTGAACATGAGCTGCAAAAATACAGATCGTTTTATGGGGATTTGGACAGTCCCTTGCCAAAAGGTGAAGCAGGTGGGCCACCTACCACAAGAGAAGCTGAACTCAAGCTTCGATTGAGACTAGTGGAGGAGGAAGCTAACATTCTTGGGAGGAAAATAGTGGAACTAGAAGTAGAAAATAGAGGACTGAAAGCAGAGCTTGATGATTTAAGAGGTGATGATTTCTCAGGGACTGCTAACCCACTTCTGGGAGAGCAGAGTGAATCCCTGTCAGAATTACGACAGCATTTGCAGCTAGTAGAAGATGAAACGGAATTGCTGAGGAGAAATTTAGCTGATTTGGAAGAACAAAACAAGCGCATAACAGCTGAGCTGAACAAATACAAGTACAAGTCTGGGGCCCATGAGAGCTCTAGGCACCATGATAATGCCAAGACAGAAGCATTGCAGGAGGAGCTAAAAGCTGCACGAATGCAGATCAATGAGCTGAGTGGCAAAGTCATGCAACTCCAGTATGAGAACAGAGTCTTAATGTCCAACATGCAACGCTATGACTTGGCCTCTCATCTTGGGATCCGTGGCAGTCCCAGAGACAGCGATGCGGAAAGTGATGCAGGAAAAAAAGAGAGCGATGACGATTCCCGTCCCCCTCACCGCAAAAGGGAAGGCCCCATCGGTGGGGAAAGCGACTCTGAGGAGGTACGCAACATTCGGTGCCTGACACCCACGAGGTCTTTTTATCCGACGCCATCCGGGTGGCAGAAAAGCTTCACTGACAGGCAGCAGATGAAGGACATTCGCTCTGAAGCTGAGCGGCTGGGCAAGACAATAGATCGCTTAATTTCTGACACGAGCACCATCATAACGGAGGCGAGAATTTATGTAGCTAATGGGGACCTCTTTGGACTGATGGATGAGGAAGACGATGGCAGCAGAATACGTGAGCATGAGCTTCTTTACCGGATCAATGCACAGATGAAGGCCTTCAGGAAAGAGCTCCAGGCTTTCATCGACAGACTCGAAGTTCCAAAGTCTTCGGACGATCGAAGTGCAGATGAACCTTTGTCAGTGAGTCAGGTAGACTTTTACTTATTACGGCCTACAGGTAAAAAGGCTCTGTCAAATGAATTAAGCCTCAAATTTGATGTATGGCACATGGAAATTCTTTATTCTAGACAGTGGACACAAATCACTATTTCTTAGATTATTTTAAATCCTCATCGTGCCATATGAAACCTTGTTCTCCCAATGGGGCTGTTTGTGAACAGTGAATAAGTCTGGTCTCCTGGAAATTAAAAGAATTATGCTGTAGGAGATGGAAGATTTTACTCCTTTCTGGCTTTGCAAGTACAGTTGCCAGAGTTGTGCCTTCATTGCCAGTAAAGGCAGTGCAGACAGCATTTTTGGCTCATAAATGAATGTGATTGTTTTCTTAGAGGCTGGGTTCCTGTTAAATGAATTAAATAATAAATCTTACTGATTTTAAACAGGAGGAAACATTAAATTTCCAAAATTATAGAGAATATGACAAACCACGGAGAAAAATAAACCATGCAAATCTACTTTACAGAGACACAGAGCCACATGGTAGTGTGAATATTGGAATTGCAGTAACTGTTTGTATCTTGTTGGAGGCCTATGGGTCACTGCTTACGTGCGGCAGTGACTAGCATCTTTTCTGTAGTTCATTTCTATGCAGAATTGTTCCTGAGAGGTTTGGGGAGGAATTTCCTTGCTGAGTCAAGATCTTTTGCCATGAAAAATGAAAATTACCTACCCTTATCTTATCGTGCAATCCTATAGTTGGCAAATCTTGTTATTGCTCATGGTATTATCCGATGTTTAGTAAGTCTCTTGCTGTGTTAATTTACTTTGTGCTGTCCTGCTAGTTTACAGTCAAAGTAGTTGCCAGGTGAAGCTGAAAGCTATTATTTCTTATTCCTGTGCTGACTAATTAGTCTTTTGTTTCCTTGTATCAGAAAGTCACAGACGCAGTGAGTTTAAAGCTAATCAATTACTATACATGTATTGCATGAAATCAAACAGAAATGGCATTTAGCATGCTCACTTTCTGATGTAGCAACATCTCTGAGCTTGTAGAGCTCCCATTAGCTTAAAGGCAGAGCACTGCATGGGTTTATACAAATTTAAAGTGAACTAATTAGTATTTTTTCTAAACAAATAATAACAATAGTTTAATTGGGTATTTCGGGGCTTGACCATGCAGAACTCCTACTGAAGTCAATGGGAGATGGGCACTTGGTCCCTCCACAAGCATAGTCTGATTCACTATTTATTTTGTTGAAACTTTGGACTTGCTATTCCATTAATTGACTGTTCTCTTTGTCTTTGTATTTACTTTCCCAGATGTTCCAGCCTATCATTTTACTTATTCTCATCCTTGTATTATTTTCATCCCTTTCATACACAACAATATTTAAACTTGTCTTCCTTTTTACACTGTTTTTTGTACTGTAAGCCATTCATCATTTACTGTTCATTGTAGTATTATTTTCAGTTTGTTTATTTTGTCCACCCTCCAAGATAAGAAGTGCAAGAGACATATTTTCTGTAATAGCCACTGCTGTAAAAACACTGAAGACTACTTGTTTGCCAAAACCAAAACAAAACCAAAAAAACCTGCAAAAAAAACATACCAAAAAGTCACCCAGTTGAATAGGAAACCCACTCACCACAATGTTCCAGGTAAGCAAACAGAAAATGATATTTTTCACTTTGTCTGGTTTTATGGTTTTTGAATAAAATTTTCCTGAGTGACTGGAACCAATTTAATTGCACCAAATCAGAAGCAAAACGGAAATATGTAGAGTGGGTGTGAGGAATCTGTTCCTTTCTTCTTCCCACTCCCAAAAAAAGAATTTGTATTCTAGCCACATATGAATAGTAAAACCACACTCGATGTGTATTCTGCAATTGTATGTCACACCCTGTACACACTTTGCATGATTGTGATGGTAATGTTTTTCAGCACTGTATTATGTGGATTAGACACCACGGAGGGGGCAAAATCAGAATGGTTGATATATAGAGCACTGTATCTGGAAATTTGGCAAGGAGGTGGAGCCCTTGGGAATGAGATGCACGAGGAGGAGGAGGTATCGGAGTAGGTGAGGAGTCTTCTGAGAGGTGTAGGCTGGCTGCATTCTCTCTGTGCTCTAGAAAAATGGCCACACTACAGTCGGACTTGAACCAAAGAGAGTCATGCTAGTCACCTTGTCTGATGTCAAATATCTTTTCCTAACAACCTAGTTTATCAGATAATATTTTCCAGTCTGTAGCCGCCAGGGCTCTGGATTCTCTCTCCAGGTTTCAGAACGAGTTTTGAATGAACTCTTGGCTTGCTGAGTGACCCACATCTAACCATGCTGTTGGTAGTGAGCGACCATGGGTAAGGGAAGCCTGTGTACATAGATGTGCATCAATAGTCACCAAATATTCCTGTCTTGCCTATGAGATGCTGCACTGAGAATGCAGGCGACTCATGATCTTTCCATCACAGTGAACGTAGGGAATTCCTACAAACAGTAGATCTCCCACTATGAAAACCTCATCTGAAATGCCCGATGGAGCTCAGTTTTCTTTTCTGTTTTATTCAACCTATGTTGAAACCGTATGTGAATTCTCCAAAGGTGATCATTTACAAGTAGGTGTATTAATGAATTTTTTTTCTGCAGATGGCATGATAAAAAAAAAACAGTCATAAATAATGATAATAAATAAAGCAGCTGTTTTTCTAGCTGGCAATAAGGATTCCCTTTGATTTATCACTCTGTTCACTTAACCCATTCCCCAGTGAGATCTCCAAGCCTGGGTTGTGCTCTACTACCCAAAATAGTAGAGAGACACCACTTTGAGCCTCAGATGGAAGCACAGGTTAGGCAATAAAATTTATTTTATGAGAACAAGAAAAATAGTAAACTCACAACATTCAGTATTAAACAAAGCTTGTGGGTTTTTTCTTGTTTGTCTAGCTTTCCCTCAGCATACTCTGCAGGTGTAGTAACCTTGATCAGTTAAATCACTTAATCTTGATCTAATCCAAATACTTATTCCTACTAGGGGATGTTGTTGTCATTATATATTTTGTAGTTAGCAAGATATATCTAAAGAAAATTATAATAAATGTGTGTGAGATTAATAGATAGCCTTTCCTCGTGTCCTGATTAAAAAGAAAATCAGGCCCAAAGTAATTTTGAGATTCTAAGATGCTCTAATTTATGCTCAGTTGACTAAAAGTTAAGTTCCACGTATTAGAAACTATTATGGCAAGATACGGTCAAGCATATCATCCCTTCACAGTGAATTTCTGTAACTGTAAAGATAGTTCTCAAGTCACTGGGAAAAGGCTCTTTTGCTGCTTTTCACTCAGCAACTCCTGTAATAAATTTTTCAGCAACTGCTTGAGAAATTCTTGGTTTTTTTCCCCATGGATTTGTAATTTGGACATTAAAAGTATAATAATTTGAGGCTTAAGCTTTTCACATCAAATCTTAGCACAAGACTGACTTTTTGAGCTTCTTTCTGGTTTAGTGTCTCCCTTGGGGACAGAAAAGATCATTTGGGTTTTGTTAAAATGTTACTGGCTCAATCCCATAAAAGAGAAAAAATCATACTTGAATCTGATTTGAAGTTTTGGGCTTTCAGATTTTAACCCACGCTTGTTTACACCTTTCTCAGCCTTGTGTGTAATAAAGATGTGTAGAGAGGGTTTGATTTACAGAGTGTACCAGGAACAGCACTACTAACAGTACTACTGTTACTGATAGTAAGTAGTAGGAATTTTAGAGAAATTTTACATTTCTTTAAGTAGTAAGAAAGTTTAATACACAGAATTCATACATTGACTACATTTTTGAAGTAACTAGGAAAGATTTACTTCTTTCTCAGAAATCAGAAAAGATGAGGATCAACCTGTTCAGAAAAGGTGGAGATAACCTCTGCACAGGACTGGCAATTATAACCCCACTGATTTCTCACAGTGTTTTTTTCTTGCATATAACTGGACCTTTCCTCATCCTAATTCTGTCAGGCATCAAGAAAGCAGATCAAAGCCAAGACCTTTTGGGACATTTAGGGAGCTACTGCACAGGCTACAATCTGAAATTAAAGCATATCAAAGCATACAAAATCATTTTAGAAGCTCCCTTGAGTCTTTGAATCTTCGATGAGCGAGGAGAACGGTGAGGACCCCTGCCAACCTCAGTACAGAGAAATCTCCATGAGAAATGATATGTGTTTTTCACATCCTTCTGCATTCAGCTTGAAGGGAATGATTTGAGCTGCTTATCTGTTTCACACCAGCTATTGCAGAGAAGTTCACAGCCCTCCATTTTTCACTATTTTGAAAGCTGCTGAGAAAGCTAATAAAATCAGTACGGACATCTATCCAGAGCCAGAAGATAACATCTAGCCAAAGAATAATTGTTCTGTGTCTTGCTAAATTGAAATAACTTGGTCTCACAAAGAAATGCAATGATTATACTTGCCAAGAAAGGAAGCAGATTCTCCCCACTCAGTTACTGGCCTGGTGGGCAAAGTCCACCTCACAGGTGGGTGAGTAAATGCAGCTGAACATGTCCACATCCTCCAGCAAGAGTGTGTGGGAGTCAGGCAGGGCAGAGCCAGACAGAACACTGCTGATTGATTAGATTCTGTCTGCCGCATAGCATCTAACTATGAAAAGCGATAATAAGAAGAATATAAGATTTTGCTTTGATGTGGATATGCCATGTTACCTATCAGTTCAAATCTCAGACCGATAGCACATTCACAGTTCCAATTTTGGAATATTCTGGCAAAATATTAATATTCTGGCAAAAATATGATTGAATTTGAACCCCGAGATTGCCTTATTTTTCCTTTTTCCCTGGAAGACTAAATTTCTGTTTCCTGTGTTCTCAGGGAATCAATTCCATGTTCTTTCAGAAAGAAGAAATCTTGCAACTGTAGATCTAATTCTGACATTTTTTCACTTGTGTAAATTGGCAGTAACTCCAATGAATTTTTATGTCATTTAGAAAATAGATGCATTTTTTCCTTTAACGCAACCAGACAAATTCAATTAAATTTGTTTCATAGAGTCAGATTTAGAGTCTGAATGCCCTGACAAAATTCCTCTACAAATATTTTCTTTACTGTTACTGAAAAATTCCCATGATACTAGAATGATAATCTTCTCCAGGATCAGAGATATTTCTCTCAACCAAAAATATCCATGCCTGAAGCTCCAGTTAGAGATAGAATAAGTGTCTGCTGACACATGTCACCAGTGCTTCAGAATCAAAACTAGAAGAGAGCAGGTGCTATAGTGCAGAAATATGCCTGGCAGTCGGAAAATAGAAAATTGCCAAAAACATGGCTGTCTAAATATTTGTTATAAAAAGAGATGAACTGCACATGAACTTTGGGAGTTGTTTACGAAAACAAGCAGAGCTTTAGGATATTAGATGCCCTTCCCCTTGATCACCCCAGAATTTGATAGGTGAGTAGGAGACTTCTAAAGGCATCAGTATCAGGGACGTAATTCCCATTGGTTTACATTTCTGTCTGTGATTTAATGCCAGGGGAAGTGATATTCAAACCCAACTTTTGCCATTACACATGCTGTTGCCTATGGGGAAAATTACAGTGGCTCTATTTAAAGTAAACATCTAAAGTATCTGCCACCAATTTCCAATGTAACCTTGGAGAAGTGACATGACGTAACACTTTGTTGGCTCTATATCTCCAGTAAGTTATGTACTATTGCAGGAGTGCACAACAGTAAGAGGAGACAGAATTTGTATTCCTTTCTGCCCATTTCCTGATTTATATGTGCACTCCTGAGATGTATTTCTCAGGATTATTGAGGTGCAAAAAGTAATACAATTCAGGAATCTGATGTTGTGGTTGGGTTGATTACAGTGGCAGCAGTGCTGTTCCTCCTCCTCCTTGTTACCAAATTTATGTGGACACAGCAAAACGGGTGTGCCGTAACCAAGCTAGTACAGCAGAACTGAAAGTGCTCTAAAATGATCTTGAGCACAGACTATTGACCAGACACTACCCTGACTATGTAATCAGGTTATAGCCCACGATGAAATTCATGCTCCTTTGTCTTCATTTCTTGCACGATGAAGAGAAATTTAGCAGAGGGCTTGTTTAAAATGCCCTTGCACATTTTTTTTGTTGAGGTGCTGACTTTTAACACAAGTAAAGCTGACATCAGGTATGGACAAAGTACATTTTGCCTGCGGAAGCAGTGTGTTGGATGTAATAAACCTACAATAGCCTTCCTACATTTTGCCTGTGCCAGAGACCAGAAAGCCACTTTGCTGCTTTGTCTGCTGCTTTTGGGGGAGGGACAGCCTCTGTTGGATAATGTTTTTTCCCCAAATGCAGAAGTCACTACTGCTACACTTAAGGGTGTCAGGAGCAATAAGCCCAGGTTTTTAGAGCTTGCTTTGTTGTTGTTTTTTTTTTTTGTTCCCAACTTTGCTCTGCCTTTCCCATCCTAGGACAAGTTTAACGTGGCCCCTTGACCTATGTATGGGGTCCAGCTCTTGTCTCCTAATGAGTGCCTCAATCACATGCATTTCCAGTTCCTCACACTGACACAAATGTGGGATTTTGCCTGA